GTTAGGCGCACGTAATGTGGTCGAACCTCGCAGACAAGTGTCTAGTATTCAAGTGGAGAAGGTTGGACGGGTGGCCATTATTTTACCGAGTTTCGAACCGTGTGCCACAGGCCCTTTGAGATTTCTTTGTTATAAAAAAGAAGAAGTTAAAATTGTTTTTTTACTTAGTGATCGGAAGTTTTACATTTTAATATTCTCAATGGGGTTCCGCATGCTTTTGCTAGTCTTTATAATGGCAGCTAAGGTATGTGATGAAGATTTTGGACTTATACTTCTAAATACATTACCAACCTAACTGCATATTTTGATTCTTTCGTAGATAAATGTAAGGGATAATTAGGTAATCAAATTATTATTTGCTAGGACAAAGCTACAGTAGTTTTTAGGGTTGTGGAGAAACGGGTGGAAAAAGATAGGAAAGTGAACATTGTTGCAGAAGATTTAGTTCTGAAAGAATAAGTAGTGTTGTTAATTATTGATTACAGGAGTTGGGTGGGTTGTCAAATAGTGATGGGGTTGTGGAGAAACAGGTGGAAAAAGATAGGAAAGTGAACATTGTCGCAGAAGATTTAGTTCTGAAAGAATAAATAGTGTTGTTAATTATTGATTACAGGAGTTGGGTGGGTTGTCAAATAGTGATGGTGTATGTGGTTATTGAGTGCAGGCCTTTCACAAGTCTCACTTATTAAAGTTGCGGGTGGCACCTTCAGAAACTGCTATGAATGATGTTCTTCGTGAGGTACGTGCTTTATCTCTTCCCTTGACTTCTTCTCCTCCTTTATTTGGTTATCAACAACTTTATCCTGCAGCATTAGCTATTTGTCTGCTGAATTGTTTATTTATCTATGTTGGAGATTCTCAATGAAATTCCTCAAAAATGGTAAATTTGGTTGGACAAGTGTATTATTTGTCGATCATGTCTGATTACTTTTATTTTTCTCCAGAATAAAGGAAGTTTGATATGAACTGTTAGTTATATCCAGCTTTAATATTTGACTTGATGAACTGACAATTTGTTGATTATTGACTTCCATGTTAATTCCCATCTATTGCAGGTTATGATCATGAAAATGTTGAGGCATCCCAATATAGTTAATCTTATTGAGGTGATTAATGACCCAGAAACAGATCACTTCTACATGGGTACTCCCTTGAAGATCCCTATTCCCTATTCATTTTACCTTATTTAGACTATTTTTTTCTGGAGCCGTCCAGTTTATTGACTTGTATCATTGTTTATGGGAAGAGAGAATAACCAAGAAGAGAGAATACCATTAACTAACATTCTTTTCCCTTTATTAAACAGTTCTCGAATACGTGGAAGGTAAATGGGTTTGTGAGGGTTCTGGCCCCCCAAGTGATCTTGGAGAAAATAAAGCACGGAAGTACTTGCGTGATATAGTGTCTGGCTTGATGTATCTACATTCTCATGTAAGACCCAGTGGTTCGGATCTGCTTCTGATAAATAAATATATATTCATGCATATGGTGTTATCTTCGGCATAACTTGTATGCTTTTGCTGTAAAAACCTCACTTCCTGTTACTCTATTAAGTTAATTTGTTATCCTGGGTTGTCATTTGAACTACATTTCAGTGGTGTACTACAAATAAACATATTTTGATTCTGGAGTGGGGGATGATTATGCAGTTAATTATGTAGGGGCCAGTGCACCTATTCTAATGTAGTAGAACTATGAAATACCAACTTAGGTTATCTGGTCATGAACCTCTCGGGTTTTATATTATGTGCAAGTGGCCTTCTACATTATTCTTTATTAAATTAATGATGGGTTTTGAACTTAATATACATGTTTTTACTTCTTGTATCTACTTATAACTGTAATTTTTTTCCATTAATTTTTCATACAACGGCTGTTTGGGTTTGTATTATTTTCTTGCATCGGATATATATTGTTATTAGTTTTTTCTTCATTGCGCCTTCTTTACTATAACCAATGATGTAATTGTGCTTTGAGCTTAAAGCCCTATCAGACCTTTGTGCTTTGCTGCGCTTTTACTACGAAGCAGAAAGGTCACACTTTTACTAGCAGGGAAATCCCAGTGGGATGTGGGTTACTTACTTTATCAAGTAATCAAGGACTTGAAACTTTTACTAGGTGCCTCGTTCGACATAGGATTTCATGCATCAGTAGTAATTTTAAGGCTTATCAGACACCTTACTTTTATTTTCCTGGTCCTTGTAGAGTATTTTACCTATGTTCTTTTTTTCTCTTGAACAGAATATTATACATGGGGATTTAAAGCCGGATAATCTTTTAGTTACTGCCTCTGGCAGGGTGAAGATTGGTGATTTCAGCGTCAGCCAAGCTTTTGAGGTATGACTCTTCTCAACAATGGTTTTCTTTAGAATTTCCTGCCCTAGTCACTTGTAAAATGATTAAAATTCTAGTTGTTTGATTCGAACATCTAGATGGATTGAGAATTACCGAGAGTAGAAATAGATGTGTTTGGTTGTATGCTTGAATGAAATCCAAGAATAAATTACTGAAGTGTCTCATCTTCTCAATTTCATATTCAGATCACATTCTGTTCCAAAAGCACTTACTGAAATATTCTGCAGACTTCTCTAGTAGAATGAGGATATCTGGGTAGAAACTTAAAAAATTCATTTGGAACATGCAAAGGAGAGAAGTAACCAGCTGTATTTTCTAAATTCTACCTTTCATTAGAATATTTGATTAGCTCCCTTCCTTTGGTTGCTTCAAAAGGACCATCTTTGGGTATAGACCGGAATAATGGTTTTTTCAAATTACTTACCAAAAAAAGGGTCAAAATTGAGATTCACCTCAATTTCCTCTAGGATCCACTGTTTCGTATCGTTTTACCTGTCATTTCGTTTGGAACAAAATTTAATAGTTTTGTCCATGCTTTCTTCGAGCCGAGGGTCTATCGAGACAACCTCTCTACCTTCGCACAAGGTAGGGGTAAGGTCTGCGTACACACTACCCTCCCCAGATCCCACTTGTGGGATTACACTGGGTTTGTTGTTGTTATTGTTGTATCCACTGTAGTGAGAATGTGGAACAATCTGTTTTATAACATGAAAGAGTACTTGATGAGAAAATGTGGAAGAAGTTTGCGTAGTAAAAAGGAGGGGAAATAGGAACAGCGACGGGTATGCATTAGTGTCGAAAGCAAGCATGGTTGTTTGGATTTCTTGGAGTTCAATGAGGTCAAATTGTTATCCGTTGACAAACTAAGTGTTCAAATTCTATGGACTTCTTTCTCCAAGAGTATCTTTACTGGTTTCCTGAAGAGAGTGCTGGAGGAGAAAATTCTCCAAAGACAATAATGATTACAAATTTACACCTAATGGATTCAGCAATTGAATAGGGTCTTAAAATCCTGGCCCATTTGACTGCGTCGAACCTTAAATCTCAATGGGTCACTTTTTGGGCTTAGCAAGAGAGACACTGAGACACCAACCTAACCCCTAATCTTTACACAAAATATGAGTCTGTCTTACTACCCCTAACTTGTGAGAAAATTATAAGTGATCAATCTACACACGAATTGTAGCAAGTTTCAGTTTTCATCTAAACTTGCCCAACACCAAGAGAACAATCAATTTGGATAAACTAAATATTTCACCAATTAAAAAGATCTTTTGCATGCATTTTATGCTTAGAAAAAGTTGTATTTCTCACTTTCACCTTTCATAGAGCTTGGTAGTCTTTATTTACTTGCACCTAGTTGTCATAATTTCCTTTTTCTATTTGAGTGTCCTAATGAGGGGAACTCTAGATGCTGTTTATTTGCGTCCTCTGGTTCAAAAGTTTTGGAGCTCGATGGGTTTGGTGTGGCGACGGAATTTAAGTTTTTGTTTTATCTTTATTGTTTCCTCTTCTTTTCCAGTAACATTAGTTAGAACTCTTCCTGTTTGCAGGATGATAATGATAAGCTTCGTCGGTCTCCTGGCACTCCTGTTTTTACTGCTCCTGAATGCTGCGTAGGTCAGTGTTTCTGGTCCTCGATGCATGCTGACATTTAAAATATCGTTGAACTTACCAAAGTGGTTTTTTTCGGTATTAATAGGTGACAGATATCATGGAAAAGCTGCTGACACATGGGCAGTTGGTGTTACCCTCTATTGCATGATCTTCGGGAAATACCCATTTCTAGGCGACACTCTCCAGGATACATATGACAAGGTGTGGTTCTCCTCGTATATTCATTGGACACCAGTTGGTTCAGTTTTCCCCCACTTTACTGACAGTCTTTCTTTCGTTTTTCCAGATAGTAAATAACCCTATTTCTCTCCCTGATGATATGAATCCTCTTCTGAAGAATTTACTCGAGGGGCTCCTCTGTAAAGGTTTGTCTCTCGTCCCACTTGACAATCTTCTTCCTGCCATTTTATTGCGATTGTAGCTCCCCTCCTTTTCCTAACAAGAAGTGCTTTTGTACAGATCCAACACAAAGGATGACTCTCGAAGGTGTTGCTCAGCATGAATGGGTCATAGGAGATGAGGGTCCAATCCCTAAGCATTCGTGTTGGTGCCAGCACAAAACGTCACATAAAGATATATGTGATGCGAGTGTGAATAATACTCCTACTTGATGCCAACTGGAAAATGTTTTATGATTATTATTTTCCGTTCTTACCTTTTAGTTCTAAGTTCTTGTAGGATGGTAGATAGGATGTTTCTTTCGGATAATTTGCACTTGCAGAAGCAACAGAATACACGCTACATAAAGGATGGTAGAAAATAAGAAGTTGAGTAAATTTTGTTAGATTTCTGTTGTACTACCAGAATGCTGGAAGAGTTGTAATGGCCGAGGGGACCTCCCGATATATTTTGTTTTGTTTTTGTTGGTGGTAATGTTGTCGCGATTTGTTTTATCCTTTTGTCCTTCCATTTTACCTTACTGGAGTAAAGTTTACCATTTTCCAAGTCTTGATTGACCAAGTAGATGAGTTTTCATGCTTAGCAGAGAGCGTTAAAAAGGCCTTCTCCCTCAGATATTGTATTGTTTAAAGTCAGCATATTTGGTTCTTGGATTTTGTATGTTATATATATACAGAAGCATTTTGTGATCACATTTAGGGTGTGTTTTTGTATCGAGGTTCTAATTTTTTCAAGTTTGGTTGGCTAAAATGTGCTAAAAAAATGTTTTTCTTATGAAGATATTTAGTAGGCGTTTGGCCATGAATTCCAAAATAAATTTTCAACTTCGGAATTTCACTAAAATTTGAATGGAAGATGAAGTTGTGTTTGGTTATAATTTTTGCAACGTATATGTCTTTTTTTGCAAAATCATGAAATATGATTTATACCCCATAACTTGTAAAAAATATCAAAACCGTTCCAATTTAATTATACTACTTGAAATAAACAATCAAACATGCTAGTATTGTGACTATTGTTTAGCAACATGGTAGTTGTCACAAGAAAAGGGTTCATTATCCGCTACAGTAGGTTCATCTGATAGTCGAGGGAAAACACGTGGGTAGTTGTAGGTTAATAATTGATGGGGTCATTTTATAAATTTTAAAAGTATAGGGTAAATTTGTAAAATTAAAAACTAGTGAAAATGCATTTTCAAGTGAAATTGAAAAAATTGGTAAAACCAAACATTGTATACAATTTTTTTTTTTTTGGAAAAAAGCAAAAATTTTGTATGTCCAAACGGGCTCTTAGCTCTAATTTCCGAAAAATTACTTTCCTAGCAAGAGGGGGAAATATTTTTCGAAATTCTCTATTGGGTGGTTTCAATTCCCCCAACCCCCCACTTAACTCCTTGCCCTCCCCAACCCCACCCTACTGCCCCCAAACAACTCAACCACCTCCCCCATTGCTGCAACTCACTCCCTCCAACACCCTTGGGTGGTCCCCTCGTTTATGTCCTTGAATCGAGGGTTTATCGGAAACAACATCTCTATTCTCACTTGTTCGATTAAATTAGATTTGTTGATGTTGTTGTTGTAATGTCGGGGGCTCTTAGTTCATATCCCTAAACAACAAAATTGATAATTTGCACAATATAATGGAACCAAATTGGAAAAAAAGAATTAAAGCATATAGTATATGATTGCACACACGTGCAGCTTCATTTTCTGTTTTCTTTTTCCAGAATAGTCGTAACTAAATAATTCAAGTTATCAGAGAATGTGTTTAGTAATACCACAAATCTATATCTATATATTATTAAAAGGAGAGGATAAAATCCTCTCCTTAAGCCAAGTGGCAGCATAAAAAAAAGCCACATGGCATAATTAGTTACTATTAGTTTTTTAGTTAATAATTAGTTATTAGTTATTATATTTGAATTTAATTATCTATAAAAAACGAAAATAATAAAAAATAAAAAACTACCATATATATATATATATATTAATTGGTTACTTTATTTTAATTAATAAATATAGATATCTTATAATTAATTATAATAAAGAAATCAAAAATATAAATATATTAAAAATAGCTACTCATTCAAATTGGGTGGGAGTAGTTTCAAGTTGGAGTTTTAAAATTATTTTAAAATAAAAAAAATTAACTATAATAAAAAAACGAAAAAAGAAGAAGAAAAACTACTCATTCAAATCAGGGAGTAGTTTCAAGTTGGCGTTTTAAAATAAAAAATTATAATTACAAATTGGGGAGCAGTTTCAAGTTGGAGTTTTATAATTATTTTAAAATAAAAAAAATAAAGCAATAAAAAACTTTTGATTCAAATTGTGGAGTAGTTTCTTTCTAATATTCTATATTATATATATCTTCTATATATTATTAAAAGGAGAGGATAAAGCCCTCTGCTTAAGCCAAGTGGTAGCCTAGAAAAAAACCTTATGGAATAATTAGTTAACAACAAAGAAATTATCTATTGAAAATTAACAAAGAAATTAACTACCTAAATTAACTACCTAAATTAACTATTAAAACATGGGTGAGGGTTGGTTTAGGTTAGTTAATTTCTTTATTTTATTTTTAAAATCATTTTCTTTTTTATTTTTTGAAATAAAAAGTATATCTATTCATTAAAATTCAAATAATATTATTGAGAAAAATATAATAAAATTTAAAATAAAAAATATATTTTCAAGAGTAATAAAATATATATCTTCTATTATATTACAAAAGAATAGCAGACAAAAATATTAAACAAGTAATATGCTAATAATCTATCTATATATTATTAAAAGCCAAAGAAATAGGCACCACATTAATCCAAGTTGTAGCCTAGAAAAAGCCACATGGCATAATTAGTTAATAACAAAAAAATTATTTATTGAAAATTAACAAAGAAATTAACTACTCAAACATCGGTGAGGGTTGGGTATATCGTATTGACAAATAAGATGACAATTGAAATTTATTAAAGTAATACGGTCTAATAGGATCAAACAAGCCCGATTATAATTTAATTAATAATTTTTTATCGCGCGGGCAGGGGCGTACGCATGAACTTTTGTAAGCGGTGTCGAAATTTATAAAAGAGCTGGAATATAACTTTGATTATCATACTTTTAGACAAGAAATAGCTTCAATCTATAGCTTCAACCTTTGACCTCTTAGAGAAAAATCAAGCACACTGCCAACATACCAAGACACAATATATGTCATATGGTGTCATTATTTCCTACTTACCCGTTTTCGTACAGTATTAATACATATATTTAGTAAAATTTCCGACGAAGCGCTGTCGCGTGACACCGCTTCGGTAAGCATAAATCCGCCCCTGCGCGCGGGTACGATTACTAGTTATTTTAAAGTAAAACTAACTGGACCTAGCTGTAAGACCAAATTTAGCTTATCTTGGAAGCTTATGTAACATCCTTTATTGTATTAATTACTATAAAATAATATAACTGAATGGGCAACTTGCAAATATGTTTATTGCAAAAGCATCAAGTATTTCAGAAATCAATACTTACAAAAGTAAATTGAGTTGTCAAATTAGTCTAAACTTAACATAAAACTCAAACGAATAATAAGACTTCTTATTAATTAATAATTGTAACTAGTAGGAGTATATTTTTAAGCTTCAAGCTTTTATTTGATCTTCAGTGTGTACTAAAATTACTAACAAGGATTTAAGCAATACGGGTACTTTTTCCGATTAATTTTGATTATTCTTTAATATTATTTTGTACTACTAATAACTACGAGTACTTTAACAACTTGTCTTTTATTTAGGGAATTTCGTCACCGGAGGCGGAACTATATTTAAAGTTTATAAGGTTCAGAATTTGTCACTGAACCTATAATTCGTCTTAATTACTGGATTCACAATTTGATATTTATACATATTTTATGAATTTTTTAATACAAATACAGGATTTAATAAAAAATTACCGAGTTCGCTCAAACCTGTAGCTAATGCTTTCTCTCCACCTATGTTTGTCATTTATTTCTTTTCTAAATCTTTAGAAACAAAACAAAGAAATGACACATCTTGCATATATATATATATATCAAAAACTTGACATATTTTATTAGTTCGTCAATGAAAATATGTAGTAAAAATTATCTATTCAAAAAAGATGTCAGAAATAGATAGGTAAGTTTGTTGCCTAATTCAGTAATTTGGGTTTGAGGGGGGGAAAAAAAGATGCTCCTACTTATGTTTATATCTTTAGTTTTGATAATTGATGTGACTTGAAAAAAGTAGTTCCCTTTCCTTGTAGGATTATCAACTAAAAGTGAACTGAAAATGTATAACTGAAATAGACGTGAGATAGTGATCACGCCCAACTATGCCTTATAAAAAAGACTCTGCGGACGTTGCAAATATAACCCGAGTATTACGCCCAGGGTCGAATCCACAGAGAGTTAACCTATCAACCACTATCTTCAGACCCACTAATTCTTCAGAACCAGCTTCCCAAATATTCAAATCTCAGTTGAATGTTCTTTAACAACTACGCTTGCAAGTAACTAAATGACTGTAAACTAAACTAATAAGGTTGTAAACAATTATGATAAAAAGCTAAGGCAATGATTTCCCCTATTGATGGAATCCCTTCTGTTTATGCTCATACAAATTTACCAACACATCTCTATCAATCATGAACGCTAATCTTACTGTAAATCTCTCCAGAGTAATCACAGTAATTTACTATTGCACTCTCCCGAGGTACACTAGCTTACTTTATTTAGCACGATTCACTTTAGATTACACCCAAGGCTTCGTTATCCCTAATCCCGCCTTTAAACCCGCAATTATAGATTCCTCTTATAATCTAGGAGTGGTGTTGTTCAACAATACCCTAAATATGCACTCTTTTCCAAGTTATGCACACTAAATAGGCACAGCTAATTGAGGATCCTGTCAATTAACTACAACGAACACGAAGTTGAACAAATAGAGCTTAAACTAGCAATTTGTATAACAAGAAGTTCATCACCCAATAGGTTCCATCAAAACCTTAGACAAGGAATTTAGCTACTCATGGCTATGGGAAAATAAACTAAGATAGAATTCATCATAAAAATCAAAAGTAAAGAAGAAAGATGTTTGGAGTATTCTCTTACAATGGTTTTCCTTGCTAAGAAACCCTAAAAATCAATAATAATTCTCTTGGGCGAAGTCTAATGTTTTAAATAGGGTTTAGGTCTAAAAATCCCGTATTTGACACTTTGACCCCTGAACTTTTCTGCGCCTGCCGCGGTTCTGCCGCGGTCGCGGTAGAACCGTGGCCAATCACCCTCTCTGAATCTCTAAAGTTCTGAAGCTGCCTTCCACCGCGGTTCTGCCGCGGTCGCGGTAGAACCGCGGCCAAACCATTTTTCTGAATCCTAAGGGCTGGCAGGGCGTAGCTTCATTGGGAATTTACACATTTGGCCTCTTTTCTCCAATTTTTTGACTCCAAAACTGCTCCTTAGCCTTCCTTATACATATATCACCTGCAAATCATGAAAAGCACTAATAAGAGCATTTTGTTA